ATCGGTTTTGTCACAAGCACATTGGCACACTGAATACCTTTTCCCATCCATAATTGCACATTCTTTAGTGCCATCATTGTTATGACACGAAGATGATGGGATCTGAACAAGGTCTGGTTGATAATAGCCATCAGCATTCGTGACCCGACGGATGATACTATAGTTTTGTCCAAAAGTTAAACTACAGCATAATGCAAGTATAACAAAAGATGAAAGCTTCATGACTGAGAAAATTAGCAGGATTGCGAACCAAATGTTGGACCAAATGTACTACAAACTCTATTCCAGGTTATCTCTGATTTAGCTGTGTGATATTTTCACGAATACTGATTAGCAATCTGGAAAGGGCTCGGGTTTGGACTCTTGAAAATTTCCGCATTGAAAATCATTAGCAAGCTAAAAATATCAGGCTCATCTAAATGAGCGCAATCAATCTTAAAATTGATTGTATCCGTTATAAATGTCTGTTTCTTGAAGAAAATGTATAACTTTATAAAAATTTATGAAAGTATCACAAGTTATAAAAACACTAAGCAAGCTAAAGTATCCTTATCTTCGTGTATAGAAGTACTTTCGGTACTTTATCCAAGATGTCTATTTCGTTCATCCTTTAAACCAACTGTAGTTCCATTTGAGGCTTCTCGATCGTGACCGACAACATAAAGTTGATGAGACTCATAATACATTCATATTATAATTTATTGGTCTTATTATATTATTCTTTATTGATCAATGTTGAAAAGAATCAATTTATTTCGTCACTTTCATATGGAAAAAGTTTTGGTCATTGAAGCATATGAATGACCAACGTTTCGTGAACTTGATTTGCAATTTTGATACTACTTTTTAGACGGTCTGTTGCAGAAGCAGTTTTTAGAGCGGTGGCTATCACCATAGAGTGCCAATAAAGACTTCCTTATTCATTGTGTTTTGCTCCACCTCTTTTGAAAGAGTCCAATGGAGTAAGCGAAATATTCACCCATACAGTCTTACACCCTTAGTCTGCAAATGATCTTAATCGATGTCGTTTATACAAATGAATTAAAATTAGCAAAAATGGTGCAGTTGTTTCGAGCTTTTTTCAAGCTTTATATTGTCTCATTTTTATTATAACTTAGCGCTTGGTATTCGTTAATGCACCAATGACCAATAGGATTGAGCTGTTGATAGGTGTTTGCTTATATGACTGGACTATCAAAGGTATCATGCTTATATGTCTCATGAGGTTCTTGCAGAGAACCATATACATGTAGTGCATTCCCTACAAGGGAACCGTACATCGAAGACTCCAAAGTTTTCTTTTGTCCATCTGCGTTGCCTTCTTGTGTCTTATGTGGTACTTGGAGGGAGCTATATACATGAGGTATATCTTCTACTAGGGAACCGTACATAGAAGAATCGACACATTTCTCTTGTCCATCTGCGTTGCCTTCTTTTGTCTTATGTGGTACTTGGAGGGAGCTATATACATGAGGCATATTTCCCAATAATGAACCGTACATAGAACTACTTTCTGGTCCTTCAGCTGTTCTAAAGTCTTGCTTTATCTTTTGGTTTTGCTCTGGCTCTACATAATCATACGGAGGGCTTTTGCAGACATGATAGTTCTGAGGAAACGAGTTGTTTAGTTCATCCATACTTTCATAGCCATAATTGAAATGACGACCAATTTCTGCTATAAGGAAAAAAAACTTTTACTATCCATTATATTTTCTAGTAATGGTACTTTTTAGATTTGTGAGAACGGTTACAAGGAGAACTGGTACAAAGGGGGAAAGGAGAAAAGGCGCTTCGCTTTAACCATAAATCAATCGTGCATGGAATGAGACAGGCAGGTTCTAGGCAGAAATATTTGAATATGAAACGCTTTAAATTTACTTTAGTCACCTTAATTCATTCACCAGCCTCTAAGTCGAATCAGTTCCTTGGCGTCGAACCAGTTCCTTGGCTTTTCTACTAGGATCCTATATCTAACTATACAAGCCAACACCACTTGGGACTATAACTACTAGTTTTTGGTTTGCATGTTTCGTAACATACCGACGTACATATACAAGTAGCTGTTCTATTGGTTACCTTGATTTCCACATTTCTCGCATACAACTGCATCGGCAGGAAGTGCTATTGCAGGTTCGTGTTGGTCGGCTGATGACTGGTTGGTATCGTCATTGGAATATTTGGTAGTAGACGCTGATAGGCTGGAACCAGGTGTTGATGAGTTGCATGTATCACCTAAAATGAAAAATATATGTACTATCAAAGTTGGCAATGCAAAACTATTTGTCATTAAGCTGAGAAATAAGTAAGTTTAACTGCTCTGTAAAAAGGATATGCAGATAACGAATTTTTTATCGGCAAAATAATTGCAAAGAAATTATGGGAAAATAAAACCAAGATAACTGCCTCAGACTGAGACAGAGTTCTTACATGAATCGTTGTTTCTTTTTTTGTCCTCTTTCCTATGAAATCAAAATCAAACATTTGTATTTTAACTCTCAACATTATTTCTGATAGGATTGTATCAGTTATTCAAAGGTTTTAGATCCTCTGCGAGTCCGGTAAAATTTCCGTATGTACGATGTTATTTTTTGGGAGTTGATGTAACTCTACCAAAAGAGTTAAAGTTACTCTACAGAGTGGAGTAAATTGAAAGAGAGTTAAATCTACTCTACAATGAGAGTAATTTTAACGCTTCCAAGAGTAATTTGTATTCCTCCAAGAGTAAGATTAACTCTTAGGAAATGATGAACAGTTGAACATTACTATAAAGAGTACATTATCAATGCTGGAGTAGATTTAAGCCTATTTTTAGTTAGCAAAAATAAACCCATCTGTTTTTAATTCATGTTTGACGGAAACAACCAGAGTAAGTTTGACTCTATTTATGGAGTAAAATTGAAGGGAGTTGCTTCAACTCCTTTCGTTAATACGACCCTAGAGTAATTTTAACTCTGACGTATCGTACACAAATCTATGATTGCCTGTAGCACTCGACCCCTTTCTTTAAGTTTCACTAGGGAAAAAGCATATGCCGTTTTCATTTTTGGGGCTTTTTTTTGTGGGTCAAATTGTTCATTCTCTGCCCGATCGGACCGATGGTAAAGTGCTTGGCCCTCCTCGCTCGTCAGATCAGCTTCACTTGTTCTAGTGCACTCAAACACTTTCAGAGTCGATCGTCATTTTCTGAATCGTGTTGTGTATCTTTCGTGATGAAGTGCTTGCGAATCAGATGTTTCTGTAAAAGAGAAGATTTTTGTAGGTCTTCGCACAATCATCTATACCACACAGGACATGAAGGTTGGACTCGTTAGACCACGTGCACATTACATGACATGTATCAAATCTTCTTGATCGTGATTGAAGAGACTCTTGTTTAGAAGCAAGCGCGATGGAAGTAGTTGAAGTCAATCAATTTACAATTTAAGTCAACCACGTATTTGTTATATTACCTTCTTTTCCTGAGCCTGATTATGAAGAATATGAGTATTATTAATGTAGCTAATAATGCAACTCCGCCCAGTGTGAGTCCTATTATTAATCCATTAGTAATAGTGATACTGGAGTCCTTTTTAGGCGCACTGATGTTCCCTTCAGGTTTCTAGTAATAAAGTTAGGTTTCTAAAAAAGCATATGTAAAAACCAGAGCATTTCAAAAACGTATTAAGCATTTTACGAATGATATGATACGTTAAGAAGTATTGTAACTCAGTAATTCCAAATGMATGACGAAGTTTACCCGATAAGAGGATGTTGTTGGAGATTGAGATGTCATCGACGGGACAGAAGTAGGGCGAATCGGCACTGGTGGTTGAGCCGGTGGGCTGGTAGAAAGAAGTGGAGACACAGAACCTGTATTGTCCAAAGAAGAAAATATAATATGAATAAATAAAAGCGTAATTGCTGTTTCAGTTTTCAAAATTGCAAACGACATACATTGAAGTCGTCCTTGTATTTTCAAGAGGATACATTGAGATGGTTCCCATGGTCGATCTGAACAGGTGACCGCTAGTTTGATAATACGACCACTAGGCAGAGGGTAAGAAGAATCTTCTGTGTAATCAACCTGAAACGGAAGGATCATTTTCTTTATTATGAAATACAACTTTATATTACATCAAGAATTCTTTGACTAGTATAAATAATATCCAGTTATTGGATTTTAGGCCATGTATCACGCTGGCATCAAACATATACGACAAACTAATTACTTAGCATGAGAAAGATATGGATGGGAGCTTACCTCAACCCCGACGTTTATATCCTTCCAATTATGAATCAAATGTAAATTGAATCTTTTGGTTACTAATGCAGTTGTCAGCTCTTTCCACATCCCAGAACATGTTAAGTACATCGAGTTTCCATCTTTYAGAGAACACGTTGCTTCTTCTGGGATCGATATGTGTTTCTTCATAGTAACATTCGATATGAGGTGATTACCATCAGTAATCGTCGTTGGTACAGTTAGGATGGGATCATTTATTCCCTTCTGATCAAGTGATAATTGGCATCCTAAAATAAAATAAAAAGGAATTCGAATAACGGTGATTGATAAGCAATAATATCATAAATCATCGGTAAGCAAATGCTACATTCTACTATGAACCATGATCATATGTTGGTTTTCAACTGAAATAAATTATTGTATTTCATTCTATATATTCCGTTCCTTTCTGGTATTTTTCTCCTGTTCTATTTTATATGCTATATATATAGCTTGTTATCCTCATTAGAATTCTTACCTGAACGTCGACGAAGTGCACTGTTCTTCTCACATCTCCAATTACCATYGTAGAATCCAAAAGTACTTTTGTAAAAATTATGAGTACTATCGGTTTTGTCACAAGCACATTGGCACACTGAATACCTTCTTCCATCCATAATTGCACATTCTTTAGTGCCATCATTGTTATGACACGAAGATGGTGGGATCTGTACAAGGTCTGGTTGATCATAGCCATCAGCATTCGTGACCCGACGGATGATACATAGTTCTGTCCATAAGTTAAACTACAGAACAATGCAAGTACAACAAAAGATGAAAGCTTCATGAATGAGAAAACTAGCAGGATAGCGAACCAAAAATGCACCAAGAGTTTCCACGATGTTGGACCAAATGTAAGAAAACTCTATTCTCCCAGGTTATCTCTGATTATATGCTGTTACATTAATTGACGTCTTAAAAGAAGAACCATTCTAACTTCGTTTTCGTGGCCAAATTTAGCCTGTGTGATAGCTGCAAAAATACTGATTAGTATCTGGAAACAGCTCGGGTTTGCACTCTTGAAAATTTCCGCATTGAAAGTCATTAGCAAGCTAAAAATATCAAGCTCATTTTAATGAGCGCAATCAATCTTAAAATTGATGGTGTCCGTTATAAATGTCTGTTTCTTGAAAAATATATATATATGACTTTATGAAAAAAAGGATTTAATCAGTTAATGAAAGTATCAAAAGTTATAACAACAATTACTAAGCAAGCTAAAGTATCATTTAGAAGTACTTTCGGTACTTTATCGGAGATGTTTATTTCATCCTTTAAACTAACTCGGCTGTAGTTCCATTTGAGGCTTCTCGATCGTGATCGACAACATAAAGCTCATGAGACTCATAAAACACTCATATTATAATTTATTGGTCTTATTATATTATTCTTTATTGATCAATGTTGACAAGAATCAATTTATTTAGTCACTTTCATATGAAAAAAGCTTCAATCATCAACATTGATCATCGAAGCATATGAATGACGGCAACGTTTCGTGAACTTGATTTGCAATTTTGACACTTTTTAGACGGTCTGTTGCAGAAGCAGTTTTTAGAGCGGTGGCTATCACCATAGAGTGCCAAAAAAGACTTCCTTGTTAATTTTGTTTTGCTCCAGCTCTTTTGAAAGTCCAATGGAGTAAGCGAAATATTCACCCATACAGTCTTACACCCTTAGTATGCAACTGATCTTAATCAATGTCGTTTTTACGAATGAAATAAATTAGCAAATATGGTGCAGTTTTTTCGAGGTTTTTTCAGGCTTTATATTGCCTCATTTTTATAACTTAGCGCTTGGGATTTTAATGCACCACTGACAAATAGCATTGGGCTGCTGATAGGTGTTTGCGTATATGACTGGACTATCAGTGGTATCATGCTTACATGTCTCGCGCGGTTCTTGCAGAGAACCATATACACGTGGTACTTGCCATACAAGGGAACCATACATCTACTACCTTCTTTCAGTTATGATCGCTCCTTACTGGTGCTAGTGTTCTACCTTTGTAAATGTATAGCTGTTCCCCCTTCTTCTTCTGACCTCCGCCCTCTTTCCCGACGATAATTAATGACTGGTCGCTTAGTATATTCTACTATCATTTACCTTGCCAGGGTAGAATCTTCTTTCGGGATTTGGTGCAGGGTTTGTACTACCGGGCTGCAGGTTCTCCTGCACATCCCGATTGGTCAGTTTCTCCACTTCAATGTCTTCGCCAGCACGCATGCATTGTTTGATTTGGATGAGATTTCCAGCGATGTTCAGCTCACGAGTGACCTTACAAGAAAGACCATCCTTGCAGCCACATTTCTGAGCACTCTGTTGATCGATCATAAGATGTTTTATAGAAGATGGATACTTTAAATCGTTTCTGTAAGTGTTTTATAGAACAGGTGAAGGGATAAGTATTTTTTATTTTTAAAAACACCTTTGACGTCAAACCCTGAGCCTAATAGGACATTTTATTTTCACTACCAGAA